ACAGGCTCATTAGCTCATGTAATTACGAAACCCTTAATGACGCAGAGGGCGTAATAAGTCTGCAATTATTCCCCTTTCAAAATCTTCATGAATAGCTGCATTCTGACGTGGGCCTACGTTCCTAAATTAAATCAATTATTTGTAACACAATTAACACTTAATCATGAAAATTTGTTTTCAAAATCGTGCCTAATTTAATGAGCTTGAAATTGGATCATGATTATTCATTCCGAAGAATATAGAGCAGCATTCAAAGAAAACAGACAATTTTGGGCCCGGCTTCCGGGCCCACTCAGTGTTATTTAGGGTACGCGTATGCATGTTCCCTCCCTTTAAAAGCACACCCTAAGTCCGGTGTGTAAAGTCAATACGGTCCGATTATTTTGTGTATTACGCGTCGGACTTTGTTGCATGAAAAGTTCCCGGAGTGGGGGGGGGGGGGCGGATTTTAGGGCCTGAGGCTATTACACTGCAGCTTTGCTGCGATCTACCTGCGATGAAGGCGATGGCGATACGATGGTAGTACGACGCTGCCTCTTTCTCGCCCCACTTCCAGGCCGATGAGATGCACTGCTTCAGTCTGCGAGCAATCATATTCTAGTGAGATCAGGGTAAACGGTGCATTTTACTATGTTACTCAAAACAACATGCGACAGATAAATTGACTATTGTAAATTGTTTTAATTCTAACCATCAAAAACTCATTTAAACAAATCGTATTTAAAGGAATACATACACATACATATAGTGTTATGATTAGTAGTTTGTCTTCTCAAAATTGAATTCAATTCATTGCCAAGCGAATGCTCTTTGCTATGAGCTAGTCTTACGTCAACTGATAATGTAATTTTTTTTGGATAAAATAATAATGTACATTTCGTATATTAGTATCTTCCTGCTGTAATGCCATTTGCACACGAGGTGTCATTAAAATTCCGTTGTTCCCTGCGCCACTCGAGCATGACTGTGAAGGCAATCAGCGCATGCGCAAAATTATTTGACGCAATGTTTTTCATTTTTCCTCTTACGCTGTTTTCTATTTCATGTCGCCTTCACATGGTGCGTCAAAGACCGCACCAACCGCTGACGCAGTCTAACGTCAATTAAATAAGTCCCCGTGTACAGCATGCAGGCACGACGAACAGGTTGACACTGCTACCATCATCTATATTACGGAATCACATGGATACAGGTATGGGCCCGGATTCACAAAGGAGGTTTGTCAACAAATCTAGGTTTATGTGCGTCATATGACGCGTTTCGATGCGTTTCAGACCAAAGTTCAGACAAACCTTGGTCATACGACGCGTATGAATTCGGGCCATTGTGTTTGAAGTGCATTCATTTGCGTCGGACGTTTATCTTATTCTTTTCAATGATATTCATTCACAAAGTGTTTTTCTCCTTGCATAATCATATGCATTGTTAATATGATATATATAACATAATTATGTAGTATGTACACGTGTGTATAATATTGTAAAAGAAATAAGAGAATGTGTTATTTCCTAACGATTATTATAATGATTACGTATGAATCTAGATGTATATACAATGTAGGTAAGAAACCATCACTTGAATAACATTACAGTGACAATAATGTATTACTTAACCATACGAAAGTGAAAAATGACTATACCATGTACAAGATGTATATAAATGTGAAAAAATACAAATGAGGGAATAATGGTGCAAAGCTGTATCAGAGTTCCCCATTGATAACGTACATTGTGAAATTTTGGAAAATGGTTGGAAAAAAAATGTCCCCTCCCAGAAACGAACCCAGGGCCCTGGTTTGGTACGCCAATGGCATAATAACAATATCAACTTATAATGCGCACATATCCATTCTAAAAGACTCCTCAACTTGGGCGCTCTGTGCAATATCAAAATAATAATACAATATTAAAACTACGACATAATTATACAATATTAAAACTACGACATAATTATACAATATTAAAACTACGACATAATTATACAATATTAAAACTACGACATAATTATACAATATTAAAACTACGACATAACTATTTAATATTAAAACTACGACATAAACAAATGGTGCTGAAGTTTCTTCTTGAATATTTCATTTGATGATGATTGTCTTATTTGTAATTGTAAAGTATTCCATAATTTGGGTGCAATGTTAGCAAAAGCCCTGTCCCCCCCCCCCCCCCCCCCCCCATTTGTTTATTGGTTTAGGGTGAACATAACTGGAGCTGTGAACCTGAGTAAATTCCGTTGTGGGGTTTACGGTTTCGAAATCTGATACAATTAAGTAATGGGGTGAAGAATAAAGAAGTGTTTTGTAAGTAATGAGTAACAGCCTATACACGATTCTTTTGGGGACTGATAACCAATGAAGAGATTTAAATATATCTGAAATACTGTCTGATCTACTACGGAAAGTGACGAGCCGAGCTGCCATGTTCTGAACTCGTTGCAGACGGGCTATTTGATTTTGAGGAAGGCCAATATACAACGAATTACACAATTCCAAACGACATGTAATAAAAGAATGAACAATCTGCTCAGTGGCTTTCTGATTCAGATATTTTCTGATACTCCAAGTATTGTCAATATGGAATGATGCGGAACTAACATTTGAAATCTGAATCTTCATGGTCATTCATGCAGCGTCAAACAAAACTCAAAGATTATGACATAACCACTAGGCCACGAATATGGGCTAGAAGTTTTGACAAGACCAGATTTAATTTATTGACCGATAATTTGACAAATCTTTGGTAATTCTTTGTTGGAGGGGGGGGCGTGAGTTTTTTGAACAATTTTGAACTAGTCGCGACCCTCAGCTGAATACTAGCCTTGCGCCTTGATAATACATACACAAGTCTTTTTTTTATGTTTGGGGGGGGGGGATAATGTTTGAACTACTCACGGGTTGGACAGCCCTTGTCAACTAATTGCTGATTTCCGCTCTAACAACACAGAAGACGAAAAACCTTATGTATGGCTGATCGTCAACGAAATAGAGTTTGTTTTTGTTGCGAAAAACGAATTGATTTAATAAATTTATGGAAATTCAAGCATTACTTTAAACAAACAGAACTTTGTTGTTCCGGGCTCATTTTTCCTGATTGAGGTGTCATATGAAAGGGCAGAAAACGAACTTTCTGGAAATGTGATTTTCTCTTTGAAATTCAGATACGGCTCGCCAAATGACTTTTTGGTACCCTTTCTTCAAATTGTTTTTAATGACTCATGCGTGAAATATGCATCATGTGGATCAGTGTCTTGCAAAAAGACGCTTCGTTACATCCTCGTGTCTGGTTACAGGCGCGGATCCAGGGGGGGGCCGAGCGGGCCTTGGCCCCCCCCCCGCAAAAAAAAAAAAAAAAAAAAAAAGAGAGAAGAAGGAAAAGAAGGGAAAAAGGAGAAAAAGGGAAAGAAAGAAGAGGAAGAAGAAAAGTAAAGGGGGAAGAAGGAGATCGGGGGGGGGCCGAAAGGGCCTTGCCTCCCAGGCTGTTAACCCCCCCCCCCCCCCAATCAAAAAAAAAATAAGAGAGAAGGAAGGAAAGGGAAAGAAAAAAAAAAGGAAAAGAGGAGATACTGGCGTACTAATAGAGGGGGGGGGCTTGGGGGAAATCAAATTCAAACGTGGTTTATTTCTGATTCCACAACGGTGTATTACAAATAATGCTGAAATGACATAATTTCCGAAATTTTTCCTCACTTTTTAGTAAATTATACGTTTGTATGTGTTTGTTGGAAAATAGAAAAATTCCTAAATTTACAACCAGGCAAAAAACATGATTCTTGAGATTCCTACATGTCAGGGCCCGAGGAACGGCGGGGATCGAGAGCCTCGAGGCATCAAAATATGCTCATCTGACCGTGATTAAATGCCTGAAACCCCTAAGCTTCCGGGGCTTTGCCCCCTGGATTCCATCTAGGGCCCTACGGCGGGCCCTTATATGATCATCTGACGGTAATTTAATGCCTAAGACCCCTGATTTTTTGGGGCTCCGCCCCCTGGACCCAACGCCAAATAGTGACTTGCCAGTGTCATAAAATAATAAGGTATACACAAAAATATGCTCATCTGACCTTAATTAAACGCCTAAAACCCCTGAGCTTCCGGGGCCGGCTCCGCCGCCTCGACCCCAACTCTTTGAAATTCAGACAAGGATTAAGAGTATAGAGAACGGTACAACGCATCGTTTTCTTTTTCTAATAATAAAACGTCAAAGCCTCGCGCAGGAGGGGAGGAGGGGGGGGGGGGGGACTGAATTGAGACAAGGATTCAGAGGCGAGAACGGTAATACGAATCTTTAATTATTTAATGAAACATAAAAGCTTATGCGCTTCGCGCGAGATGGAGGGAATGGACTGAATTGAGACAAGGATTCAGAGGCGAGAACGGTAATACGAATCTTTAATTATTTAATGAAACATAAAAGCTTATGCGCTTCGCGCGAGATGGAGGGGGAACTAAATTCCGATGAGGATTATTTTCGAGAACGGTACAATGAATCGTCTTCTTCTCTAATGATTAAATGAAGATTAAAAGCTTCCGCGCTTCGCACGGGAGGGATGGGAAAAACTAAATTCAGACGAGAATTATTTTCGAGAACGGTACAACGAATCGTCTTCTTTCTTTAATAGTTTAATAAAACGTCAAAGCTTCCGCGCTTCGCGCAGGAGGGGGAGGGGGGCTGAATTTAGACAAGGATTAAAAGTCGAGAACTGTACAACGAATCGTCCTCTTTCTCTAATAATTTAATAAATCGTAAAATTTTCCGCGCTTCGCGCGGGAGGAGAAAAACTAAATTCAGACGAGAATTATTTTCGAGAACGGTACAACGAATCGTCTTCTTTCTCTAATAATATAATGAAACGTCAAAGCCTGGGAGGGGGAAATTCGCCCCCCCCCCGCATTACGTCACTGTTGGTCACCATAACGTACGAATATTTGGCTCGCATAATTTCAAATTTGGGCCCCCCCCCCTAAGAAATCCTGGATCCGCGCCTGTCTGGTTATACATATAAGTTCATTTTGATCAATACAAAACATGGGATTTGTAAGCGTTGCAAAGCGAACATTAATAAGTGAATTCGAATTTCTTTGAATTTGTTATTCACCTTTACAAAGTAAAACTTTCAGCAAATCGTCCGTGGATGTGTTCGACCATGATCACAGGTCTTTCCTAAATTAAAAGAGTTCAGGAATTCAGATGTCTAACTCCTACCTTAACAGCCGCTTTAGATAATCTTTGCACTATACATAAACATCTAGATTCCAATATGTCTACAGACTACAACTCTCACGCGAATACATGTACTGCCATTAGCAATGCAATTAAGATTAAAATAGAGGGCGCTTTAAAGATATGACAAGAGCACGTAGATAGACCAAGATGGCAAGGCGGATACCAGTCCATTGTTTCATCTGAATCTCCGTTGGTAAAATCAACGATAGGCTGAACGGTCAAGTCTTCACCACCTTGACCATCACCGTTGTCATTATCCTCATCACCATCATCATCGTCGTGTTCGTAGGGAGGTCCCATCTCATCCCGATCGCCTGCACGTCCAAGGTCCACACCTGAGCTTTCCTCAAAGAAGAAGGTGAAAAACTCAACAACGTCCTCAGTTACCAACACATCAGTGACTTCGGTCATGAGTTCATATACCGTCTCAGTCACGAAATCGTCAACCGTTTCAGTCACGAAATCGTAAACCGTTTCAGTCACGAGATCGTAAACTGTTTCTGTCTCGAGATCGTCAACCGCGTCGGTTTGATTTCCATTGACGCAACCAAGATCAGACATTTGGAGGGAATTGATCGCCCTGGATGATAGCTCTGGAGGCGAAACGCAGTGTATTGGATCGCTGACGTCGTCGTATTTCATCAAGACCCATTTCAGAGACTCAAGACGACAATCACAGTGCCATGGATTATCGGACAGGTCTATTCGTTGAATGGCGTTTAGGTAAGACCTTCCGATATCGAAATGAGAAAGTTCATTCCCCTGTAAGCCAATGAAAATGACAAATACAAATGGTTGGAACGAGCCTGGTGCCACTAAGTTGATGCGGTTATTGTCGAGATGAATATTGAGGAGCTTGATGGCATTTACGAAATCTCCCTCATTGATTGTTGCGATACGGTTGTAGGAAAGACGTAGGTTCTCCAGATATGGATGGCGGGTGAAAAGTTCAGTTGGGATGTTCGTGAAGAGACAATAAGTGGCGCTGATGGATTGAAGTCGTGGAGCTGATATGTTGGGCATTGCAATGATTTGCTGATGGTCCAGATTCACTTGGTGCGCATATTGAAAGTCAAGCGACGCTGTAATGAGCGCTGACGTGTTCATGATGTGTACGTAACCAAGGTTGGGTAATTCAACGGCGTCAAAAAGGTTTTCGGGAAAATTTTGAAGAGGAAGGTTTGCCATTCGAAGAAATTGCAAAGATGTTAGACCACTGAATGCTTCTGCATCGATCGACTCCAGGGGATTGCCATCCAAATCAAGGCTGCTTAGAGATGAGCACGCTGAAAAGGAAGTACCAGATATGTGCCTTATTTGGTTTTTGCTCAAGGAGAGCCAATATAAGCTCGTTGCAAAGGCAAAGGTAAGCTGGGATATAAAACTTATTTCGTTCTCTGCAAGTGATAGATAACGTACGTTTTCTGAAATGCCTGTGATTGGAAACTCCCGGATTCGATTTGAATCAGCCTTAACCCATAACGATTGTGATTGTGCATACATCAAGAAGTCTAGAGACTCCACCATGTTGTGGGAAATATCTAAATTGAACTGGCGTTCACTCTGAACGAATGCGAAATTATCAATAACGGAAATAGCATTGTGAGAGACAATGAGTTGGGTAACGAGCGGGATAGGCAATGCAGCTGGGAGAGATGTGATTTCATTGTCAGCCAAATTCAGCAGCTGCAGACTTGGAAGACCGTAGAAAAAGCCCACGTTAAATTCGCTGATCTTATTGTGCTCCAAAATTAACTGTTGCAAAGATGCCATAGGGCCAAATGGAGAGATTGACGTCAAATTGCAGTCGACCATTTCAAGTTTCGTTAATGAAGACAGTTGCTCAAACGGATTATCTTCAAAGTAGGTGATGAAGTTTTCGCTGAGAATGAGACTTACGAGAAATTCGATGTTTGGAAAAACCGGAATGGTATTCAATCTGTTACCAGTCAGAATCAATTGTTCAAGGTTTGGCAGATTGACAAAGTATTCAAATGACAAGATTTCTATTCGATTATAAGACAGATCGAGAGTTTCCAACGATGGCAAATTTGGGAATGTGGGCATGGAAGAGAGTCGGTTGTGAGATAATTCTATGTCATTTAAGTTGGGTAGACCGACTAAACCGTTCTCGCCAATGTTATGAATGGAGTTTTGTTTCAGTTTTAAGAGAGTCAATTCCGGCAGATCATGAAATGATGACAAAGTTCGAAGGTCATTGTAGCTTGCAAATACATATTTAAGGTTGGGAATATCAATCAGCTCAAGGACTTGAATGGAGCAGTTGGCCATATAAATGGATCGTAGAGAAGCTGCTCCTGCTATTGTAACTTTCTGGAGATTTTGATTACCTGACATATTGATGATTATTAGAGATGTCAGGTTCAGAAACATACCATTGAATTCTGTTAAATCGTTATAATTCAAAATTAAGGATTGATGGATGTGGACAGGTAAGGAAAACGAAGAGAGTCTGTTGGATCTTAGATCGAGCACGTCAAGTTCAGGTAGATTCTGAAATGAGTCACTTGGAATATGGGAAATGGCATTCCCTGAAAGAATTAGATGTCGTAATTTGGGGATGTTCCTGAAAGGAGACACGTCTGTGATTTGGTTTCCAGAAAGATCTAATAGCTCAATGCTGTTGAAGGAGTCAAAGGCTGCTTCCTCAATGGTAGTGATATGGTTCTCATCCAAGCTGAGATGATATAAACCTGTCATATTACCCATGTGGGTCACAATACGAAATGCACATCTATAACACTTGAAGGTTAGAACTTCATGAAGGCGCGCAAAGGCATCAATTCCGATACGCCATATAGGATTATTGGACAAAGTAAAATGTTGTCCTCTAAGGCGAGCATTGGTGATATCTTGAAGGTTTCCATCCGTAAGAGTCAGCATCTGGAGGTTGGTGAAAGACTCGAAAACCGATGGAGGGACGGAGGAAATGGGATTGCTGCTAAGGGAAAGTATTTCTAACGCCGGCAATTGGTGTCCTGACAGAAAGCTGATGTCAGTGAGCTTGTTCGTCGAAAGAGTTAGCTTCCTCAAGTTTGTAAGTCCAGACAGACCATCATGATCAATGCGCTCGATTAAGTTACTCGACAGGGAGAGGCTTTGAACATCGTTATACCCGGTAAAGCTGCCCGATGGTATTTCCTTGATGAAATTATCCGTCAAAATGACTTCGCTGATACTGGGGTCCAACGAGGAGGGGATGTCTCGGAGTCCGCCCTGTGTACAATCCATGCTATAGGTCCAGGTAAACCGATCCCTGTAGCACTGGCAGTTGTCCGGACAAGCGACAACACCGCTCGCGAAGATAAGGAACACCACTGTAAGTGGAGTAAGAGGGGAAATGGTAACCATGACGTCGTTGCAGATCACTTCGACTTCCCTGGATAGAGTTTGTCAGCTTATCATGTGATAAACTTCACGAGGTATATATCACGTGGTGCCGTCACGTCTGCAAACGAAATAAAAACAAAATGTTTGTAAAAAATTATTTTAAAAAATAAATTAAAAGAATAAATGAATAAATATAATAAAATAAAAGTTTTCACATTATTCTAAAACTACCTGCTAGTCTAAAAGATACTTGGTTTTCTAATGCGTCACTCGAATTCTTTAGTGGGATGGAATATATGAACGGGGAAACTTCCCAACTGTTGAAAAGTGCAGATGACACCCTTTATAGGGATTTAGACACATTGTTAAGATGAGAGAAAATAGTGCTAAAGTAGTGATTTAAATGCTAGATGTAAAATCAAAGATAATCTGAAAGTTTGAGTGAAAACAGACCATTATTAATGATAAAATTGGATTCCAGACATTCAAGTGTTGACAGATTTTTAAAAGCCTGCTTTACATGTACGTCTGATTTTCATGGAAAAACGGTTGGGAAAATTCAAAAATGGATGGGAGAATTAACTGTTAGAGGGTGTCGCACAGTGACCCCTCCAAAGAAGACCATTAATATCTTTGTGGTTTTAGAATGTTTTCAGGATTCTTTGCAAGTTAGAGGGTTTGTACTGGTAGAAGGAATATAATAAGTAACATTTCGTACACAAAATTACGCAGTTTTTTTAATCAACATTCTAACAGAGTCACTTTAAAGGTCCGGTGACATCCGAATATAAGTTAATTCCTGTTGATGTGCAGCGCTGCATACAACTCATATTTTGTTATTCAAACAAATCATCTAAATATATTTTTATAGATTTAAAAAAAAAAATTCTCAGACCTGCTAAGCTCCACCCTAAAAATATGCACCAGGTCTCATTCATCTTGTGACATCATCTGTCAATCATTAGTGAGCTAACAAGAGACAGTGGTATGTAGCTTCACCAGAGTTTACTAGGCTGTTTACTAATGAGTGCCCGCTATCATCTCGAATAGGACCCTTTTTAGGTATAAGAAGTGCCCCTTTTCATCTTTTTCATCGATTTAGTAAATCGAAAGCAATTCGCTGAAAATGACATTTTTTCATTTGTACTTTGTCTGGCAAGAATTTTCGACGATTTTTCATGTTTAATTAACTTTATGAAGTTTCGTTATTTTCATGTTAAGGATAACATGTGTTTCTTTAAGGACACCTTAGAATATCCGGGACCGGTACGTGGCAAAAGCAGGTCACGGCAAAGTGCAGAGCCACATCATCAAGTCAGAGAACGGACATGTTTGTCCACTATTTTTGATGTAACAGTAAGCTTTGAGAAGTTTGATTCTGGTTTTTGTTGTAAGAAATACTTAGAGGTCTAAATTTAGAAAGTTGGTAAATGAAACAGATGTTGGTTTGTATCAATTTTACATTGATAGATGGTACAGTGTGTGAATAACAGGACTGGAGAGATCATGAGTGTATTCCTTGATTGTAGTCGAAATATATAAGGACAGGTTTTATAACAAGTTTTTACTCAGAACAAATTATTAAACAGGCATTACCCAAGATGAGATTAGAATGGATATTCAATCTTTATTGCAAATATTCATTTGACATTTAAAGTGAAGTGATATTTACATGAGGGCTAGGTATGTTTACAATTGGTAAATACAAAAAGAGGATTTTTATGCAAAGTTGCAAACTATATATACCTGTTTAACAAAGTCAATATTTAATGGTTTGATAGACCGATGTAATTGGTTTAAGAAATGATTAGTAATCGCAAGACGACGATTCTAAGAATTTCTTCATCTTTTATTTTTTCATACAGATTGAATAAACACTTGATTTATCGAGGACTATCCGATTCAACAGGACAAACTCGACTGAACATTCCTTCTTCCCCACCCCTTTTTTTTGTCCCGAAAATTTGAAAATTGACCGATCGATTTTTCGTTCCCCTGGGGGGGGGGGGGCGGGGGGGGGGGGGGGTGAGGTCACCTTTTTTTGGTCACCCATTAGCACAATTTTTTTATTTTGTTAAAATAAATTTTAAAAAAATGAGGGGGGGGGTCCTCCAAAACACAAACCTTAAATAAATTTGAGAGGGGTTCGACCCCCCCCCCCTGCGTACACACTTGAGATGATGTTATGGAACGCACAACTCGAAATAGTAACAAGAATCTGTTGAAACCTTTTAAGTGCAATACTGAATTTTGTTCTAACACTTTCGTGAACTATGGCGTTAAAGTGTGGAACAAACTTACAGTGGAAGCCCGACTTTGTTTAACTCTCAATGTATTTAAACGAATGATATCAGAAAAGTAACATGTTTATACATTTTCTCAAACTCATCTTAAATTTGTATCTACTTAATTGGATCTGGGAAATTTATCTTGCAGAACATTGTAAAATTTGACCTTTCTTGCCCTTTTACAATATTATATAAGCGGTGTCTCACTTTCTGTTTTTAATACAAGGTCATTGTAACTTCTTATATTGTATCATTATTTACCTTTAATATGATCTTACCTTTACTATATTTGTTGTTGTATTTGATGTTTTACTCTAATTTTTCTCTTACTTTATTATATATGGAAACATTTTGCATATCTATTTGAATTTTACAAAGCAGGGCAACATGAAAGATCAATTTTTTGTTTTTTATCGTAATTTATTTCCTATTGTCAGTTTTACTTGTTTTATCATTGTGCTTTGATGTTAATATGCTTTATTTATTGAATTTGTTGTCTTTTTTTCCTACTGTTATTTTTATGATATTGTTTTGAGAAATGTTGTATATATGTGTATTTTCATTGAGACAGGGCCTTATGGAAGATCATTTTCTTAATCTGAATGAGATACCCTGTATAAATATGTGAAACAAATAAATAAAAAATAAAATCTCTAATTACAGCTCCTATTACTTTGACACGTGCCCATTTCCTTTCTAATAAGTGCTCCTCTCAAATATGAAAAGATCCCTTGTTACATTAAGTCTCCCTTGTCCTTTTTCATATAACTGCCCTCTGATAACCTTTCATCTATATTTCCTATTGTCGCTTACACCAACTACAAATTTCTTTTGCGGTCTTATGAAAGAGGCATATCTAGTTTCAGAGAGTTGGAGCAGCGTTGTGTAATAACAGATACCCTTTTTCTACCACGATGAAAAGCAGTAGCTGAACTGTGCCCTTTTTAGAATATAATCATGCTCGTTTTCAATGATTTAATGTTCCTTATCTGTATAAGTCATTTTAATACAAGAAGTCTGCCCTTTCTATACTAAACGTTTGACCTTTTAAAGGTACTTTGTCCCTTTTGCAGCCAACATCAAATTATGTAGAACTTTGCAGGAATTATGAATATGTCCTATCTGTGAAATTAAACGTTAGCGGTGCCCTAGTATTCAAATTATGTAAGGAAACCCGTTAACGTTTCAGACTTCCCTGTCAGACACTATTGATTAACTGACTGACATCTTCTTTTTTTGGGGGGGGGGTAATAAGAAACAAAAATGAGCTTTAACAGGTACATGACCATTTGTCTACATCAATAACCCAGGCCTGCAATAACCCACTTCTTGTAATGACCAAAATTAAAACTGATTGAATATTTGTGCAGCACCAAACGTACAATTCGGTACAAGGGTGTGAAAATCAGACTATTACTTAGGTGATTGCAATCACTTAAGTCGATTTTACAACCAATGGTCGTTATTTTCCCACAAAAAACAC